GCTTTGCTGGTGGTGTTGTAGGTGACAAAACTGATCCTGTTTTGTTCTTATGTGCTTCATTCATGTTTTTCCTCTTCTGTGGTTTAAATTAGCTGTGTTTAACTTGGCATTCTGGGAGGTTATTCAGGAATTCACCAGAGGAATTCAGGAATTCCCATCCCTGGAAGTGTCCAAGGATCACCCTGGCATAGTGGAAGGTGTCCCTGCCCATGGCAGGGGTGGCACTGGATGAGCTTTAAGGTCCCTTCCAAACCTTTCTATGATTTTCCATGTATATATGATTTTCCAGGAACTATTTCCATGATTCCTGAAGCTAGGACAGAGGTGCAGCAGGGTGCACTATCCCAGGGTGATCCAAAACCTGGCCAGGGATGGGGAATCTGTGCCAGGGTCTGTGCTCTGGTAAATTCCTGAATAACCTCCCAGAATGCCAAGTTAAACAGGGACTATTTGAACCACAGAAGAGGAAATTCAGTGTCAGCCTATTTTAAGCCTATTTTATTCAGTGTCAATTTGATTTTGTTCTCAGTCCAGAATCCCAGGATGATTTGGGTTGGAAGGGACCTCAAAGCTCATCTTCTTCCATCCCTTGCCATGGCCAGGGACACCTTACATTATGTTAAGAAGAGCTGTGACAAAAAAACCCCAAAAACAACCAAACCTAAATCCTGGCTTTAGTTTTAATATTGGGAATATTCCTCATGGTGAAGTGGGGAGGATCCCCAGTGCCCAGGGCACAACCCCGTGAATTATTCCATGAATAATTCATGAGGAATGGGGACCATTATCGGTTTTGTGTTCCTAAACAAACACCAGCCTTAGCACATCTTCATCGGACCGGCTCTGAAGTCAGACAGCCACTTAGCAATTAAAACTTTAATTGCTCCACAATTAAATTGGCAACTACAATGTAATTAGCACGCAGGGTTTAATTTGGGAAAGCCAGGCTCTGGTTGAGAGGCCTAAGGAATGTGTTCTGGGGATCAGGGCAGCAAGGGAAGCTTTCCCCTCTTGGATTTCATGGAATATCCCCAAGCATCGTTCAGCTCCAACTCCTAGGACTGGTTTTTCATAAGAAAAGCTTAATTTCATGAAGTTTTAGTGAACCTTCCAGAAATCCTCACAGGATGAGGTGAAGCTCTGGTTGTCAGAGCAGCTGTGGATGCCCCTGGATTGCTGGAAGTGTCCAAGGATAAAGAAACAAAGAACTGAGACTTGGGCCCCTGCAGAACCAAAAATATTTTGTGTTTTGCATGGTTAAAGGGATTTTTGGAGCTATTTCTGTTGGGAGCAGGCTGGTGGCTTGTGAAGCTGTTCCCTCTTGGATTTCATGGAATATCCCCAAGCATCGTACAGCTCCAACCCCTAGGACCGGTTTTTCATAAGAAAAGCTTAATTTCATGAAGTTTTAGTGAACCTTCCAGAAATCCTCACAGGGTGAGGTGAAGCTCTGGTTGTCAGAGCAGCTGTGGATGCCCCTGGATCCCTGGAAGTGTCCCAGGATAAAGAACCAAAGAACTGGGACTTGGGGGCCTGCAGAACCCAAAATATTTTGAGTTGTGCGTGGTTAAAGGGATTTTTGGAGCTGTTTCTGTTGGGAGCAGGCTGGTGGGTTGTGGAGGCATCGATCTCTTTTATTGACCCTTAACTCTGGTCACCTTCTCATGTTCATCCTGGAAAGGGAATGGCTGGAGCCCTTGGAACTGGGGAACTGGAGACACTGAGATTTTTATTTTATGCTCTGTTTGGAAATCATACACATTGCCCATTGTTATGGAATAGCTTCTTACAGCTGACAGAAAACTGCACTGTTTGTGTGCCAGCTAACGCTCCCCCAAAATCAGCTCAAGCTGTAAATTAAATATAATGTTGAATTCAATAATGCTCAATATTTGGACTGAAATGCAGCATTTTCTGATTCTCCTGCCTGGAGAGAAGCATCTCTTGCATTATTTAGTGTTTGTCTGGTGGAGATGCCAAGGCAAGCTGCAGATGTATCTCCATTAATTGATCAATATTGTGTTGTGTTCCATTTGGTTCCTTTGCCTGCCTGATACAGCAGAACAATTTGTTTGCTCCATGGAAAACTGCACTGTACAGACTGCCAGGTAGGAAAAGAAAATGGGAAAAATCCCACAGCAGTCCCTTGAACTTTTAATTCCATAAAAGGTGAATTTTTCTCATGGTCTGGGCATCTTATGGTGAGGTGTTTAATGTTCCAGATTGCTGAGTTACACAGCAGAGGAATGGGAGGCTTTCTCCAGGATAATAAATTGTAATTAAAGAGCACATTAATTACCAAACCACAGAGCATTGTTTTATCTAATCTTGCTAATACCTGCAATATCATGCTGGGAAGTCTCTTTACTTTTAAAACAAGTATTTTAATTTCATAAGCAATGTGTTTCTTGTGCTCCCCAGCACTTGGGAATAATGTGATCCCATTCCTGCTCAGAATTGCCCATCTTTCTTTGGAACCCATGAGCCAAAAGTCAGGTAAAGTAATTTCCTTTGCAGGTTTTTGTTGTAGAGGTTTTTGCAGAAAAAGCTGCTGAAACTCAGTTCTATTAAACAAAAAATGACATTCTTCAAAATTATTTAGGAATCTCTGAAGCGTGGGAAGCTCCACTAAAGGCTGATATTGCTCATTCTTGAGATAAACACCTATTTTTGTTCTTCTTGTCAGATTGATACTTAATATGAAGAAATGAATCAAACATTTATAAAAATAGTAATAAAATTAACTTGCAATGAAGAGATTTGAGTCTCCCCCAACTCTGCTTCTGTATCACGTAAAGCACTGCTGCCATTTTACACTCCCACAGCCCAGTTAACTTTTAGGCCATAATATTTACCAAACAGCCATTTTCAGCTTGATAAATAATCATCTTTTCTGACCTAAATGAGTCTGTGTTTCAGTTCTCTGATTGTATTCTGTGAACCCTGAAGCTGTTTCCCAGTTTGGGGTGCCAGGGGAGGTTTTTTAGTGGCTGCTATGATTTGAAACCTTTGCTTTTTTTTTTTTTTTTTTTTTTTTTTTTTTTTTTTTTTTTTGTGGGAATAACCCCCTCATGTCTGTCCCCTCTTCCTTCTCTTCTCCTGGCTCTTGTTTTTCAAATCTTGCCTTTCAAACCCTCCAATATTTAAAAGATGGGTCACTTCCAACCTCCCAGGTTGGTCCTTTCTTTCCATCCAACCTAGGATTTTAATTTTAACCCTTCCTCACACATCCCAGCATGATGCAGGTAAGCTGATAAAGCAGGTTTCCCCTCATAAAACGAGATATTCAGAAAGGCAAGGGGTGGAGAGATGGGGATTAAATAATAGCCACGGGTCAGAGTGATTTTCTTTTCTATGATAGTTCTGTTACTCATGGATGAGTGTTCTCAGGGATGAGTTTCTCAGGGGAAAATGACCAAAATTACATCTCACCACCGTTTTTGTGTGGGGTGTAAAAGACCTAAATCTTTTCTTTTTTGAACAGAAAAAATTGGGGGAAATTTCACCTGAAAGTCTAACAGGTGAAACAAAGTTCACACTGAGGTTAGTGTACTGTGTGTCCTGACTGTGCAGATGCTCTGTAGGCACAGAGTTTGTGGGAATTGGGAGTGGGGCTGTGGCCAAGTCTCACACCACAGTCTCAAGATGTGCCAAGGGAAATATAGGTTGGATATTAGAAAAAAGTTTTTTACAGAAAGGGTGATAAAGTTCTGGAATGGCTGCCCAGGGAGGTGGTGGAGTCACCATCCCTGGATGTGTTTAAAACCAGACTGGATGTGGCACTGGGTGCCAGGGATAGTTGAGGTGTTGGGGCTGGGTTGGACTCGATGATCTTGGAGGTCTCTTCCAACCCAACCCAGTGATTCTCTGAATTCTGTGAATTCTAATGAGCTGCAACTGTGCAGGATAGGTGACTGAAATTGAAATTAATGAGCTGTTAATGAGCCGAGGGGTACTGAACAATCCCACAGGAGCAGAGGGCACACAGGTGCAGTGCATCAACATGAGGGGATAAAAGGTTGGGCTGAAGAACAACCAAGTGATGATGCTTGAAGCATTCCTCAGTGTAAGTCACATCTTTGTTGTCAGTGGTGAGTTTTGTTTCCCAAGGGCTGGAGTTCATGTCCGGGGCCCTGTGACCCTGCTGGGCTGCTGCCTCCTGAAATCCCAGATGGTGCAGGATGTGTCACCAAGCTGCCACCACCTACAGCTCGGGCTGCCCTGGCAGTGCCCAGCACCTCCTGCAAACGGGGCTGGTGTGTGGGCACAGAGTTTGTGGTCATTGGGAGTGGGGCTGGGGCTGAGCCTCATCCCCAATGGGCTGCAGCTGTGCAGGACAGGTGAGTGATATTGAAATTAATGAGCTCAGGGGCACTGACCAATCACACAGGGAGCAGAGGGCACACAGGTGCAGTGCATCAACATGAGGGGATCAAAGGTTGGGCTGAAGCACAGGAGGGGTAGTTGTTTGCAGCCTTCTGAAGTGGGATGGTGTTACTCTGTGTGGGCAGATGCCTGAAGTCTTCTGACCTGGGAAGGTGTTGCTCTGGTTGGAGTGAAGCTTTCTGAAATTGTTTGGTGATATTCTGTGTATTGTGGCCCTCTCAGCTGTGACAATGCTCCACTAAAAAATGCTCAAGCATTAAAAGTTTCTGCATGCAATAGTTGGTTTTAACCTTTTTCTGAATATGTGTGCTCTTTTTCATAATACATTTAGTTCCTTTTGAAGTTGGAGGGCTCTGGTGGTCTTTTTTTTGTTCACAGTGTGGAATTCTAGGAGTTTTGGATGGGAAGGGACCTTAAATCCCATCCAGTTCCATCCCTGCTGTGGCCATGGCACCTTGCACTATCCCAGGCTCCTCCAAGCCCTCTCCAAACTGGCCTGAAATCAAATAAATTTTAGAAGTTAAATCTCAAAGAACATTCGCCTTCCTTTAAAAATGTCTGAAATTATTTAATTGCCCTTTAAGAATCATTTTTCTCTCTTCTTTTTCTCACAGATGGGAAGGTTGAAGTGACAAAAGAGGGAGTGAAGCTCTGCACCATGGGACCTGGCAAAGTTTTTGGGGAGTTAGCCATCCTCTACAACTGCACCCGGACAGCTACTGTCAAAAGTAAGAGCATTTTAGATGTTTTTTCAGTCTCTTCACTTGGAAGCTGCAACCTCTTTTAGTTGTTACACTTTCACAGTGATTTCAGTTCTTTAGGCCATGGATTTTGGTATGGGATTTATGTGAAGGAGGTGCAGAGGAAATGCATCATTCATTCTCTCAGGTTGGTCCTACCCCATGCAAAGCAGCCTGAAGCTTGCACCACAGTTTTCCTTACAATTCCTGCTGGATCTCATGATTTTCTTATTGCCTAGAAGAACCTTTCTGACCTGTGTAAGCCTTTAAGGGTAACTCAGTAAGCCAAGCTTAGCTTTTGTTCAGGACAAGTCATTGTTTTCCCACTAAAATAAATCAGGAAAAAAAAATCTGGATGGCACTTGACCCCCTGCTCTAAACTCCTCAGACTTCTCCTGTTACCTGTTTTCTTTTATGAATGTTCTGGGCAAAAGCTTGGCTTGCACAATTAAGCAGAGGGAATAAATCATGTTGCTATGCATGAATTAAATGGGTTTTTGTTTGCATTCAGATGCAGATATAGGATATCACAGCTCTCCTTGATCTTGAGAACAAGAGTTTATGGTGGTGTCTGAAGCAGAGATAATAAATAGTTGTGTGGTTTTAAGGTGCTGTGGGGGAGGAGTTAAAAGAGTACAGATGGTACAGAAAAATCCAAACAAGGGGTACAAACTTGAATAATACAAACCAGTGGTATTCTTGTGCCAGAATAATGAGCTGTGTGAGTCCCTGCTCAAAAGAAAGCCTCTTCCAAATATCTAATTGTGCTTTAAAAAAAGAGAGAGGAAAAGAACAAATGGGCAGGAATGAGAGAGCAGGAACAGATAAGTGGATTATTTTCTGCAGGATGTGCTGTTCTCTGTAGGGCTCAAGGACATGACTGATGTTCTCTGCTCTCACCTGTGCAAACCTTGCCTTTTCACAAGTGCTGGGGACCTCAGGTGAGGGTGGAAATTCAGAGAAGCAGCAGGTTTGTGTGATAAATACAGCTGGGGAAGGTTGGGAAGAGCAGAGAGAAAGGCCACAGCCCAGAAAAGGCAGTGAGGGGTTGGCTGTTGTTTAGTTCCCCTTAGGAATGCAGAGCTGGAGGGCAGCTGAGTGGAATCCCACAGAACCACTCTGTTCCTGTGCTATTCCCACCTGCTTGTGCAAGGCACTCCCACTGCAGGTTTTCTGTATTTTTTCCATTACTGCCTTTTCAACACCCTTCCTGAGCAAACTTCCAGCCTGGCAGGTGGCATTGCTGTCTGAAATCCCTTTGTCCTGGTTAAACTGGGGCCAGGAGTAAAGTCACTACTCAGAATCCTTGCCTCAAGGAAAAGGAATCTGTGTCCCTTGTTCCTTTCTTAGCAGCATTGTGAGTTCTGCTGGGTTTTAATCCCTTTCCCAGGGCCAGCAAGGGACTTGGAGGAATTTTCTCTCTGGTTAGTGCCAAATCAGTGAAGTTTGGGTTGCAATGAGCTTGGGGAGCTGCTGCAGCTCACAGTCACTGAGCTGAGGGTGTGAAGGTGCTCACATCCTCTCTGGGCATCAACTTAGCTGGTCCTACACAGCTTCAAACACCTGCTTGTTCCTTTGGGAAATGAGCAATAAATGTGCTAAATCCCTAGAAAGGTGAGTGATGGTGGTAAAATACTCCATTAAGCCTTGGATCATTCCAAGGTTTAATTTGGGAGAAATAAAATTGGTGATTGTAGTGAGAACAGACACTCAGCACTAGTGGTGAAGAACTGTTAGGGAGCACCATCCATTTGGAGGTACTCTCAGGGCTTCTCAATTTTCAGGAGAGAGCTTTCCATCATCTCCAGGGTGTCAGGAGTGTGTTTTGATGGGCCTGCCTGTACTTCATTAGGAGGACATTAAGTGCTGCTTTCTGAGGATGAAGCTGCAGCCAAGGCTGAGTGAAGGATGGATTTATGTGGGTGTGGAGCTCTGTGTTACAGCTGGGCCATAATGAGGTGTCAGCTGAGTTGACATCTCCAGCTGGAACTGGGTTTTATGTGTACCCTGGCTTTGGTTTGTAAATAATAAAGATTTTAGTGTCATTACTCACTGTTAGTGTACACGGGCTCTTCAGCTTGTGCTCACTCTGCAGGAGCAAGCTTCAGCTATAAATCACTGGAGGAAGGGCTTTGTCTTTGCAACAGAATTTAGGAGACATTAAAATTTAATCATTCTGATCTGACTCCTGTCTCATAATGATCTCTTTAATAAGGCAATCCAGGGCTTTGAAAAGCTTGCCCCAGGAGCACTATTAATATTTTTTTTCCCTGTCATTGCAGCCTTAAATAAAAGCAGGGTGGGGTTTGAGTTCAAGCAGGGCATGGGAAGAACCCAAACCCTTGGGTGTTGAGGAGCACCCAGGAAGGCAGGGACACATCTCCTGGCATGTGGCCTTATTTTTAAGATAAATGTACAATTTTGACATCTGTTTGTTTGGTTATTCTGCGGTGTTTGCTTTACATTTCCAGATATTAGTAGAGGGTTTGGTTTTTTTTTTTTTTTGTGTTTGTTTGCTTTTTCTTCTGGTAGAAACTGGCCAGTCTGCTCCAAGTGTGGAATTGTCAAGGCTTTCTGACTCCTTGATGTTCACAGATCCCCTTCCATTGCACACTCAGTGAAATCCAAATCAGCAGTAATTTCTCCCTCTCTCTATATTGATTATCCAGAGATCTCAAGTGCCTGGGTGCTGCTTGCAATTCAAAGCAGAACCACAGACTTTTCTCCCTGATTCCAACAAATAATTAGGTTCAGAATGAGGAAAACATCACTTTTTGTGGCTACACATAAAATGTCTCTGATCCTCTGTTTTTAGAGACATGGTTGGATAAAAGGGCTATGAGAGGTCAGCAAAAAAAGATAAAGACAGAAATCCCCCCAGCTGGATTGGGAGTGTGTTTAAAACATTGTGATTCTTAATTTTGCTAACAAGATGTGGGAGGAAGTGAAATTAATCTGCTGTTAATACTGTGCAGAAGTCTCATTCCTCTTACAGAATGTGTGGAGCAGATTTTTGCAGGTGATTTGTGGAAGGAGCAGATTGTCCATCCTCTAAGGATGTTCTGCTGATTTTAGAAGTGGTGTAACACCTGAAACAGATTCTCTTGTGGGCAAAATTCAAATAAAACCATCCCTTAGAAACATCTCCGTGCGAGGCTGACGATTTCAGGGGAGTTACGCTCTACGCCAGCTTGTGCTTTCAGGAGAACTACTAGCAAAAAAAAAAAAAAAAAAGCAAGCAGAGGCTGAAGTTATTAAACTCTAAATTATGTAAATCCTTCTGCTGGCCCTCAAAAGGCAGCACAAGAGTCCCTCAAGCTGCTGTGCTTGCCAGCTGCACTAATTGTACAAAACCCTGCGCGGCACGGAGGGATTAAGGCGGGAGCTCGGCTTCTCCTTGCCAAGCCTGGATGAGTTTGAATTTTCATCTGCTGGTTTTTGTTTTAATGGAGAGCTCTGCACTGCTTGCTGCAGCCCCAGGAATGACAGAACTTTCTGAGGAGCTTGGTAACATGGATAATTTGTGGGGGAAAAGAAGGCAGCAGTGAGTTGCCAATTAAAACTGCAGAGAGTCGTTAAAAACCTTGCAGAAGGATTTTGGAGGAGAATATCTGAAAGCAACAGTTACAGGAGCCAGGGTAAAGTTTGTTCAGCTCTCCTTAAAACACACTTTGCAAGGAAGTTGACTTTTAGATACGCAACTGTTTGATTAAAATCTCTCTGATATTACATGGAGATAAGAAATCCGGGCTGGCCCAGCCAGCCTGGTGTGTCTGGTGGGAGATAAATGGAATATAAATGGATATATCCTGGAAGAAAGTAATTTAAACTCACCCCTCCACTGCCTGTGTTTTACTGTGACCTTTACAGGTCTTGCAAGTAATGTGACAAAATGGGATTGGATTATTCCTCCAAGGGGATGATAATGAGAAAATGATGTTGAGGACAATGGACAAGGTGTAGCAGGAGTTTTTTCCCCCCCTCTCTTCTTCAGGAGCCTCTTCAGGATGGCATTTCTGTGGCTCCTCATTTCCATCTGGAGGTTCTGAAATCATGAGCAGCTTTAAGACTGAGTATTTATTTATGGGAAAAACTTTCAGTGTTAAATCCATGTTTAAAAACCCTATAGACCTCTATTGCCAAGCAGGTAAATTAACAATAAATAACAAAGGCCTGTTTGTTGTGTCTGACAGAGAAGGAGGGTGATCACCATTCCAGGGAAGTGAAGTGTTTCTGTTGTTCTGGAATACTTGTGGAAATAATTTTGTTGATATTTTCCATGTTGATTTAATTGCAGAGTGGATTGAGCTGAGTTCTCATCACTTAACCATGGTTATAAGGAGATGATGGCTTTCTCTGTGCAACCCTTGAAGAATTAGTTAATATTAACAGCAGATGTCAGATAATTAGTTCATAAAAGCTCCCATTTCATCCCTTTTTATCGATGTCACTGAAAATGCTGCTGATGTTTGAAATATGGCCAGAGCAGCTGTGAGAAATGAGGTGACTGAACTTTGCTGTTGACAGTGAAGCTTTGCTTTGGGCAGAGTTTGATAAACAAGGGGATGCGATGGAATATTTGCCATAAATATTAATTTATGGGCTCAGTGACATGTGATTAAAATGCAACAGACAACACATGGTCTGGGTTTGCCCCACGTTATTTGAAATTTCTCATTCTAGACTATTTCCTGGTGGTAACTGAGGAACAAAAGAGCACTTGGCACCAAGACAGGCCCAGAACTGATCAAGTTGTGTTTCAGAACCAAAGCAACCACTGCCTTCTGTTCTCTTGGGCCACTTTTAGAAGCTCCTTGCTGACATGAAGCCACCCCAAGCTGCCTTTCCTGCTGTCCATAAAAGCAGAGATCTCCTCCATGGTATTCGCTGTGTGACCTTAAATCCATTTGCTCGTGGCAATGATGCAGCAATAACCAAATTGATGGAATAATAATAGTCCAAGTAATAATGGAATGATGGAATTCCCA